ACCACTCCCGCCAGGCCGTGGGAGCAGATCAGCAGCTCAGACGGTACCGATGATTCGTCCATCGCTTCGCCCAACTCCAGTCACGTCCCTGACGGCACCGACACCAACGACGTTCACGACGAGCATCTCAGCAACGCCATGGATAGTCAGGTAGTTACAGAAAGAACTTCACTAGTGCATGTGTCTTGAACACCCCACATCGCATCGCAAAGTGAGACGTATGCCATTCCATGATATTCATGACTTGACGATGTCACCAATCTACTTATTTTTCTGCAAGGAAAACCATGCTTTTATCGCAGAACAAATAAGAAGCGACGTAAATTTTGCTTCTCATGCTTTTCTCCCCTTTTCTTTATTCTAAACCAGAAAGTACGTTGCATTAGCACTCTCTACAGCAATAATAGCTCATGTACTTTTCACAATCTGTTCAACATATACATAACTTATAAAGACTACTGCGCTGATGTTAATGGCTTAAACTAGCCTGAAGCAATTTTTTTCCTTCCTTGTCTCCTCCACAATCAACGCCGCTCAGCTTTGAAAGGGAAAATAATACAGTTAACAAATTGTTTTTCTTGAAACTTTCGTTTTGAGACCCACGTGACGTGCAAACGACGTCAGGGTTATGCGCGAAAGTCCAACTCGCGGTGCAAGTCGGTGTTGGTAGCGAAGGAAAGAATTGGAGTAGAGCACGCATTGTAACACTATAGCGCTGACGACAACGAAATACGTGCCCTAGGGGTACTTTCGATCGATCAGACTATGCTGAGAAACAGAGAGTATTTTGCGAAAAGGACCTCGCTTTACATCCAAACGGTTTTGTGGGGCTGCAAAGGCATCTACGGAGAGTAGAAAGGTGTCTGTATTGATGGTAAGGGATATTTTTAGGCTTTAGACGAGATGAATGAGTCAATAGCCTGGTGGCGATACCAGGACGAGATTGTCATATCCGGCATCTCCTGTCGGCTTCCGGACTCGGATAATATGGAAGAATTCGCGCAACATCTATTGAACGGTGATGACTTGATCACGGAAGACGATCGACGTTGGGAACCTGGTAAACCGACCTTAGAACTGACTCCTCAAGAATTTGGACATGTATGTTCGTTCTTAACAGGGTTATTTGGACTACCACGTCGGCACGGCAAAATCAAGGAGCTGGAAAAATTCGACGCTTCTTTTTTCAACGTTCATCCCAAGCAAGCAAACAACATGGATCCTCAGCTGAGGCTGCTCTTGGAGGTAGCGTACGAATCTATCGTCGATTCAGGTAAGACACGTTATTAAACTGATTCCCAAAATATCTTAGCGAACTTGTGTTAACATCACAAAGTTCGACCTTGTGACTGCGTAATTCTTGAAAATAATATTTTTCTGCAATATTTTTGTTTGAATTAAGAAACAGTCTTTCTGCAGATTTATGTAATAGCATAGTTTCATGAATCAGGAAAAGGTGAAAATGTTTAATGAAAAAGAATTTTTACAGAACTGGTATACTGTCAGAGACTTCAAGTAAATATTGAATACGGCCAGAGTTATACGTAAGCTTTCCAGTGAAAGAGATTCAATCTTGTTGTAGAAGAATGTGTTAGGTGTTTCGGTATTTGCTGGTATTGTCAGACATGGTGGCAAATGGTATATTACCAACGTTTTTTTCTGAACATAAAAGGCTATTACGTGCTCTTTTTGCTTTGGCCGAACTTTAGGAACTGTGAACTTTTAAAAAAACAGTGGGCTGAACAGGATACCTAGCAGCTTTTACTAACTGCGATTTTGCAGCAGTGTTCAACCTTACCAATGAAAGCTTCGTACAAGCACCTTAGACCCCTACTATGATTCGGTATAAGGAATCACTGGTTATTTGGTGGTCACTTACATTTAGTTCATCGAATCGTGGATGAGGGCATCAATCGCGCCGATGGTTAAAATTTATCAGAAACCATTTTCCCACTACATTGCATGATCATTGACCAAAACGTTTTTATATTCAAATTTGAAGCAACAACGGGTCACCAACAGTCATGTCCTCATTGAACTACACTGTTGACGCCGCGCATATCTTTTTAACCGGCTAATCCATCATGCCTACGGAAGTCTAAAATTATGCCGCGCTAATTTATTTACTGTTGTAGTAAATATTTTTCAGAGCATACAGTCTGTGCGTTTTTGCATTCTTTTTACGCCATGGTTGCATCAAGTGCACATTATTTTGGAAATGGTTAGGAGTCATGGTCGGCCTGGCAATCGCAGAGCAAAATTAAACGTAAACATTCACCCGCAACAGCAAGAAACGTTTCCGCAGTACATTCCACAAAGACGGCAACTTGACCTAGAAGTTACTTTCGGCTATGTTACACAGTTCATTAACCTCTTCCGTTATTAGAATATGACTTCTAGGTCAGCATTGCACAGTTCTCGGTAAAATAGCACTGATTCGGCAATTGGAAGACTTTGTGAATTTGTCCTGTGACTGGAAAAATAATTTCATCCCAGCATTCAGATTCTGTTTCTTCGTTTCATGTTCGAAATTGTCATGAAATCTTTCAACCTTTTTCAGAAACTCCCCATTCAGTCCTGCGTAACTGTCACACTTTAGAGCAGTTTGACCGTTTGAATTAAATCAATTTTTCAAAACTGACAGATTGAATTCATGACAGATTGAAATTCTATCGTCGAGGATATTTCAAACTCAGTTTACACTGAACATAGTGACTTCAAGTACTTGAACTTTAAGCATATTTGTAAACGATTAGGAACAGAAATATTTCGAATCTAATTCAAATAGATGTTTAGGGAGGTATCAGTTCGATGCCTGCTTTTGATTTCGTAGGATTTCGATTCATGTTTCAAGACAACAGTGTAGCAAAGATGTGAAATTTCCTTTATTCATCGATACGCTTTGGTTATATTCAGAGGCCTGAAGGTGGCGCTATTTTGGCGCTAAGATTAAAAAAAATTTCATCAACCGTTTTAAAATTGTTTCCTTGAACCATGAATCGAAATCGTAAGATCATTAGCAAGTAATCTAGTTATACGTCGATGAGAGGGTTGCATTCAGATGCAAATTTAGCCCCGCATTTTATATCCTTAAATTTTGACAAACTTCTTTGTTGCTTCAAGACGGAGGCAAAAATTCGAAAAACACGTAAGAATATGGTTGAATAAATGTTATTTGCTTAAGCTCTTTCCATCGATTTTAAATCTCTCCTTAGTATAAAAATGTATAAGACAATCGCTTAGCAATGAAATGGCGATCTCCTGCTATCCGTTTATGAATTCATTTACCATATCACTCATTAAACCGCTGAAGATTATTTTATATATCGTATGTTTCTATGGCGTAAACTAAATATTTTAAAGCAATTAATACGCAAGATATTTGAATGATGTAAAGATGGTTAGGTACGTACTGAAGATTTAGCGGTAGAGATGTTAAGAACACGAGAAGCGGATTAGTCCGTTAGCAGTGCGTTCCCAACGAATGTTTTCGTCTACGTGTGACCAGATGATACACCAATAATTTATTTAGCCAGTTCCGGTCAGCGATGTTTACTGTATAATGATGAAGAATAGTATTTTTCTTCTTGAACGGAATAATTGGCGAGAATAGCTCATATCATTTGATGATAGATATCAAGAAATATCGTTTTGTCCACTTGCTGTAAGCACTACACCCGAGGCAAAGTGGCAAACATGTTCATCAGTGAAAATTTAGCGCAAGCAGATCTGCTTCCTTCGTCAAGTGTGAACGCAGGTCAACCTGATCATGAACACTCAAGATCGTCCTAGATGGTGCTCCATGAACACAGTTCTTTGATTTTCACTTTTCTCTTGGCTGTAACTAATGAATTGAAAAACTTTAAATAGATAAGTGATTTTTATTTGAAGTGTGGTCGTAACAGTCAGTGTCGATGGCCAGAACTTAATTTCAGCATATAAGTTCGTAGTTTTGCCAGTGAACGAATCAGTTGATGGTTGGGTAAATTTGAGTATTTATTCGATTTTATTGCTTGTTTCTGAAATCCTTTTAGTTTGTATATTTCGTGAAAAGTATTTCTTTAACTAGTTAATTTTTTTGTTATAATTCATGCCTTATGTTGTTTTAGTAATTGATCAGGTGAATTAAGGCACGGCGTGCGTAAACTGTGTGCATGAAACAGTGTGGCAGTATATCTCCTAAACTCGGAACATGACCACCCTAGAACACCAGCTGTTGGTAACCAGGCCATCGATTTGCTATTAATTTCTCAGCCAGTTTTTCAGTAAAGCAGCTGGGTGAACTCTTTGTTAAACTGAATTAGCAGTTGCTAAGCGGAATTTTACCTGTACCAGTTTGAACTCGCATTGTTCAAGTGCAAAACGAAACGACTCTTACTTATGCAACACTGCTA